CTGATCTAGCAGTAGCCTGCAGTGCTGCTTTTAACCACTGCGCCACCTTGGCTCTTAAAACATGTGTCTTCCTTTTCCCATCCAGAGAAATATTCTGCCTTTTCAATATTTCCTAGGATATTTCATTTTTCTGGGAGAGGGGTGGGTGATAACTTCCTACAGTTGCAAGGCTGTTACTTAGTTTGGTAATGAAACATCTGCAAGGTCACAGCACCAAGAACCCCTCAGTTCAACCCTGCACACTCCATTTGCCAGGGAACTGATAGCTCACCACTCTGAGAAGATTGCCTGTCTATTTTAAATTATTAAAATTTCTCCTAAATATGAAAGGTAAAGGTTCCCCTCACACATATGTGCAAGTGGGTCACGACTCTCGGGGGCGGTGCTCATCTCTATTTCAAAGCTGAAGAGCTAGTGCTGTCTAAAGACATCTCCGTGGTCATGTGGCCGGCATGAGTAAACGCACAGAACACTGTTACCTTCCCACCAAAGGTGGTCCCTATTTTCCTACTTGCATTTTTGGTGCTTTCGAACTGCTAGTTTGGCAGAAGCTGGGACAAGTAACGGGAGCTCACTCCGTTACGCGGCACTAGGGATTCGAACCGCTGACATTTCTGATCGATAAGCTCAGCGTCTTAACCACTGAGCCACCATGTCCCTCCTAAATATACTGGTTCATTAATGCAGGAAATGTAACACAGGAAACCAGAACTCATACAAGTTCAAAACTGAATAGTTCTTTTGATTAATATACTTTCAATCATTAGCATAGTAATAGCCTGAAGCAACCTCTACATAAAGGTGGAAGATGAAAGCTGGAAAAGATGTTTAGGCTGTGTGCAAACCACCGACTCAGCATGAAAGTCATAGCATTTGAATCCCAATGAATAGTTCTTTAAGTGATATTTTAGGTTTATTGTATTGTGTAGATCTAAATCGGACTCCCTTTTGGTTCTTTTTAACCCAGATCTGTTTTGTTATAAAATCTGACTAAAGGGATCCAATATGGCATATGCATGAAATCTACCTAATATGAATGTGAAATTTGAAGAGCTAAAGCACTCAGAAAACACAAACCCATAGGAAATAGATTAATTCTTTAATTTGGATTAATCTTTTGGACATTTGTAATGTTGCAACCATTAATATGGAGAAAAGAGAACGTGAAGACAAGTACAGCCCCCATCTCAGAAAAAAAATAAAAATCTATTTGCAAAAGATACTGTATTTTACATCTGGGATTACAATTAAAGTATCCCTACTGACTAATATACCGCTCACAAATTATTATTTAATAAAAACAGTAATTGGAAAAAAAAACCTGTACGTATGAAGAGAAACCTATGATTTATTACAAATTGTTTAAATACAGCTAGTAGATCAGTCCTCCAGAGCTGGTCAAAGTAAGAATTACAGGTAATCCTTAATTTATGACACAATTGAACCCAAAATTTCTGTTGCTATATGAGACAGTTGTTAAGTGAGTTTTGCCCCATTTTATGACCTTTTTTGCCACAGTTGTTAAATGAACCCCTATATTGTTAAGTTAGTAACATGGTTGCTAAGGGAATCTGGCTTTCCCATTGACTTTGCTTATTAGAAAATCTCAAAAGGTGATTATGTGACCCTGGGACACTGCAACTGTCATTAGTCAGTTGCTAAGCATGTGACCATGGAGATGCTGCAATGGTTGTAGTGTGAAAAAGAGTCATGTCACTTTTTTCAGTGCTGTTGAACTGTGAGTAAACGAACTGTTGTTTAAGTCGAGGGCTACTTCCATTTGATTATAAGCTTTCCAGAAGCTTATTTTAGAATGATGGGCTTCTCGATGAATTAAACTGTATCAGGAATGTATTGGTACATTAGTCAAATGGAATGCAATATTTCATAACAATTTGGGATGATTTCATTAATAGATTAATGATCAATTTAACAATTATAACCCACAAAGTAGGGTCAATATGACACTGTGGTGAGTAAGTAGATATGAGTAACAATTATCAAGAAATTTTAAAAAATGCTAGAACTCAGCAAAATTTTCACCCTCTTCTTAGCATAATTTTACTGACCACAATATAAAATAGAATTCAGTCTGTCATTCATACACTGCAGTAAGTAGAAACAATGTTCTTCTCCTTTTAGTTTGTCAACACACAGAAAGAACTTCCACTGGTTAGAGGAACAATCCTCCTTTCCTGATCTCAAAATGTCCATAACTCCTGTTTGGAGGTGGGGTTTTTTTACAGTTCAGTTTTCATAGGTCTGGGCAGTATCTCATTATAGTTGCTTTTCCGTTTTACTTTGTAAGTCAAGGCTCTAGAGTACTCCTTTAGAAGTTGTTCCCAGTAACAAGAAATGTCCTCCATTTGCAAGTGGTCCATGATGAACTGGCGACCCCTAGGGACCAAACAATGAAGCAAATAAGTCAATTGCTTTTCTAATTCAAAACTCACTTTTGAATTCTAATTCAAAAGTCAATACAGTCAATTGCTTTTCTAATTCAAAAGCTTAAATATACACCTGGGCTATAAAAAAAAGAAAAAAAGCTTAGCAGTCATTATGCCTATCCAGGAACCTGTAATTTTATGACTTAGTCCTAAAATTTAAACACTTATATAAAAATCAAAGCAAGACTTATACATGTAACTCGAATTGATGTAGTGTTGAAAGTGCTACCTGCTATAAAGAAAACAGAACAAACCTCTTCCAATTGTGGAAGTAAACATTAAATGATGTATAATTATCGGTATTAAAACTGAATATCATTTAAAGGTCTTCCTCCCGCAAGACATAAACACATCCTAGCAATTATTTCTAAATTTACATGCAACACAAATAAGATAAGAGGTAAGATAACCATTATTGTCATTTTTTTCTGTGGGCACTCTGGCACATATTAAAATGAAATTCTGTTGCCTCTCAAAAGTGTACACATACATAACACACATATATGCTACAGAATACACATACATATGTATATACCTATACCCTAACATATAAATACATATAAATCGGGTGAAGTTCAGCAAGTTCTGGAGAAGTGGTAGTGGAAATTTTGAGTAGTTCAGAGAACCGGCAAATACCACCTTTGGCTGGCCCCAGAGTAGTGTGGGAATGGAGATTTTGCAATATCCTTCCCCTGCCACGCCCACCAACCCATGCCCACAGAACTAGTAGTAAAAAAAATTGAATTTCACCACTGATATAAATATTTATCACTGTCCATTTTG